CTTCTGAGAAGATACGCTATTAGCATAGCGAGGAAGCCGGCTGCGCATTTTGCATCGCTCCCGCTACGCTAATAGCGTATCTTCTCAGAAGCTGCACACAGCGCGTGCCAGTTTAAGTAGTAACCAGCACGCTCCGTATGCAGCTTCTAACAGCGTGGGAGACGGGAGGCCGCACTTTTGGTGGATGCAGGGATCAGGTGAATATATAAAAAAAATTTGATTTATGCTCCCGGGGATAAAATGTCCCTGGATTTTGTTTTTAAAAATGTTGTCACCTTACCTTGGCCTGGTGGTCAGTGGGGGCCTCCATGGACCCTGGTTGTGGGGGGGGTGTCTGCTGTGGCCGCAGCTGCAGTGGCTCTCTCCCTCTGCCGCTGCCCCCGGCCGGCCGGACCGCATCCGATGCTGCTCCTCGGTCCTCAAGGGGGTTGCCCTCTACAGCGCTTGATTACAGGGCCGCGTCTGCTTGATACAGCCAGCCAGATCGCATACCGAGGCGATCCACGCTGGCTGTACCAGGTAGACGCGGCATGTTAGAGGGCCCCCTGCTGGAGCCTCCCGAGCACCTCCTTGAGGAGCAGCGGCCGCACCATTTACAGAGCCGCGTCGCTGGCAGTGGCTGGGGGTCAAGGGGCAGTTCGCGGTGGCATCAGAGAGGCCCGGGGGGCAATTGCCACCCTGCCCCCCGGCATAGTCCGCCCCTGCATTGGCTCGACTGAGCCGAAGTGACAGCCGAAGCGCGGAGAAAGGCCAGCGGCATTCAGCTATTCACTTACTGCCGTTCGGCCCCTATGAGAATAGGGGCAAACGGTAACGAGTGAACTGCCGGAGCTTCAGCTCAGCCGATCCAGATGTTGGATCAGCTGAGTCAAAGTCCTTCTACACTTCGGCTCAGCCAAACACGCAGAGCATGTTCGGCTGACCAAAAGGCAGCCGGTGTACTGCTGATTTTAGCTGATGTATGGCTAAAATCAGCTGTACAAGGCTGAAGTGAATAGCCGAACAGTGTTCGGCTCACTTCACTTCGGCTCGGGGCCTTCGGCAGCTAAGTGAATAACCTCCTAATTATTTAAAAAGTTGTGAACTTTCTGTTAGGTCACTGTAGAGGTTCAGCCATTCTCCGGTAGCAAGGTGTTTTTAACAATATTTTATGTAAATGCTAGAGCACTGGTGGTCAACTTTCTTGATATAGGAAGCCTCAAGTGTGGCCCCTGACATTACCAAATGGCTGCACATAATATACAGTGAATGTAATATTACAGAAAGCTGCAGACATGCAAAAGGAGATAGACAGAGAATGCAGACATGCAAAAGGAGATAGACAAAGATATACTGTTGCTGGAGACCAGGGGTATGCAGAAGAAGACAGCCATAGGCCAAATATACATTACATTCAACTGCTAGAGATCACTGCTAATGTAGCCTCTTTAATCAATCAAATCAATGCTTCCACATTTGGGCCCCCTTTAAAATTACTTGTGTCACATCACAAAATAGAAAAAAAAGGAAAGTATAGAAAAAAGAAAGATGGTGTAAAAGTTAGAAAAACAAAGCTTTTAACTACTAGTGCCCAGTCTATGGAATATTTTCCTTCACTGGCCCAAGTAGGTACCTAGGTCAGAAAACACAGACTGCAGTCTGCCGGGGCCTGGGGGCTGCCCAATAAGTGCCAAAGGGTCACTTGCGTGTCTAGAGATTGTATCACATGAAACCCAAAGGGTGTCATCAGTCTCTGGGATGCTGCAAACACCACATCTGGAACCAGCAATTTTTATGGTCAGATCAAATTGGAGTATACATATTTATCATTCCAATATTTGGTAGAACAACAACTGAAATCCTTGATTAGGTTGACTTACTTATCCTGCTTATGTAGCAGTCATGCAATTTACCATTTAGCAACTTGAGCTTATGAGCAGGTGTACTTACAGTAATAACGTAGCCAATGTGTGTTTATAATATATAAGATTTTATTATAATCTCTGGATTTTTTTGTTGTGTTTGGGTGTAATAAAACATATAACATATATAACACATATTACTTTATATCTAATGCTGATGTATGCAGCAGACTGTTTCAGTGGTGATACACAAAAGCAGCTTATTGAAGCTTTTGGTTCAGTGCTTTGCACTGCGGCATACCAAAATAATTGCAGCACGCAGCATTCACTCCACCCCTGAAAAGGACAATGGGAGATAGGCCAGAGACTAGTCAAATGTACCAGTCCTTACTGTCTTTGCATTTATTTATGTATTTATTTATTTTTTGCTATCAGAACAAAAATAACCAACTAGAGAACTTACAGAATATCATACATCTGCTTTTGGCTTTACCATATAACAAATTGTACATGTTAACAGTATTTTCCAGAAGTTTCTACTAATGTTAAAAACGTCAGCCATTTCTTAAAATCATCCGTAGTTGTTTTCTACAGCAGTAGATTCCTTGCACTGTTAGTTCTTGATCACTGTGTCTGTAATTTGAGTCAGTACCACAGACAGTACTTAATCGGATTATTTTAAAATTAAAAGATGTAAATAACACTGAGCCCATATGTTGCTTAAAGGAGAACTATGGGGTCAGGGCTTTTCCCCATAGTTCACCTAAGGGTCACGGGAGAACACAAACTAGCATTCTCCGTGACCCAAAGCTCAGTATACCGCGAGCTATAGCTTGCGGTATACTGAGATGCCGCAGCCAGAATGGATCCCGACATTGCTGTCGAGATCCACCCAGCTGCAGGATTGACAGCTGGCTCTGCATATCCAGAGGCAGAGCCAGCTGCCCCCGCCCATTCGTTCCGCCAGTCAGCGCTGGAGGATCGGACAGGGGAGGGGGGAATCCCTGCAGGGAGCCGTGAATGACAGTCACGGCTCTCTGCAGGGATGGATCGAGAAGTGAGCGAGCGATGGTATGTGTTCGCTCACTTCCCGATCTATTGAGCCGACCTGTGACAGTTTCATTGTCACAGGTCGGCTCAGATTATGAGACTGAGTGAAAATCACTCGCCTCATAATTCTCCTTTAATATTATTCTTATTTATATTAAAAAATAATAAAAACCAGATGTTTAAGAATTTTGCTAGTCTAAATGAAACCTAAATATAAAACTGTCTCGACAGATGTATTATGAACAGTCCTACATTACATTGCTGTAGTATATCTGGCCAAGCTAAAATGCAGAGCTTTCAGTTTACAACTTCAGTGCTGGAAAATATTGGCATTTATGTACAAAATGAATGGATATTAAGACAAAAAATTAGAACAACTACTAATCAGGATATAACATAACATATTAAGAACAACAAAAATAAATTACATACAAAGCATGCAAGGTAGAGAAATAAATAGAATCACCTTTATTTTTAGAGCCCCTCGTGGCCTCTCGGTTGTAGCATGTTACAGACTTACAGTATATCATTAAGAGGTGAATCAGTATTACAGCCTAAAACCCACTTTATCTCACTAGCAGAATGTATGTGTAATCTTCCCCATCTATTAACTTAGATCTTTCCACATTCAAAGCTTGGAACATGGGTTTGACCAGACAGACCATTATAGTGTATTCTAAACTATGCACTACCATTACAATTGATATGACTTTTTAAAGAAGAGCCTAACCCCCAAATTTTTTTTTTTTAGCCCGGGATAGATTGGAAAAGGGTTAGAACCACTGTCACATTGTTATTGATGCCTATGCTTCCACTGGAGGAATTTTCCCCTACTTAGACCTTCACAGGATGAAATGGTATAGTTCTCAATGGAGCAGGTGTCAAAAACTGGAAGATTTCCCCCTGTGAATGTGAATAGCCCCTCACCAGTAGAGAGGGCAGATCTCTCCATTGGGGATATATGAATAAAAACCTTAAGTTTTGTCTACTTCACCCAAAACTTAAAAAAAGTCTGGAGTTCTATTTAGGTTTTCTGGAAGTAGTTTGTAAATAAATATGATTTCTAATGTAGATTTGCCATACAAAGGTAGGCCTAATTATTTTATATTTATTAATTATTGTATATTTTATGTTTATTAGTATATTTATTTATTATTGTAAATAGTTAAATGAAAAAAAGGAAAAAACACATCCCTGGTAGAAGCACGTGCCCAATATTGAAATCAGACCCTATCTACTCCTTCCAATTCATTTTTTACTCCTTTCTCCTGTGTTTATGGTTTATGCTCAGTCCCAGCTGAATAATACTCATTATTCTTTTATTTCCCTTTATCTTCTTTTGTAGTCTGTTCATCCATCACTACAGATCTTCCTTTTCATCCCCTCTTAACAACAAATCCTATAATGGTCTTTTATACAAATGGCTTCATCTGTAATCTGTCAGGATTCCATAAACAGCACAGATTATGTTGCTGTAAAGATGTGTTACTTTGTAGCAGATTTCTCTCCTTATGTGGCCCTAATCCATGTAATGGCTTGAAATTGTCTGGATTCTTTCCGTGTCAGAGAAATTCCTATCAGGCAAGAGCATTTGATGTCACTTCAGAAATATAATTAATGAGTCACACCATAACAGAAAGAAGCCTGGCAGTTCCATACTGTGTATTACTCAGATAGGACCACATGATGAGAATGTGTTCATATGGCAGAAGTTGTGCACAAATCTCATGTTATAATCAGACCAATATCTAATTACTGACTACCACTTCATTTCTTAAGTGTATTTTGTTATTCTAATTTTATTTTATATTCTTCTCTATTAAGCTGTTTCATATTGTTTTAACAAATGTGAAAATGGCAATTGAGTTATTGTATTTTATAGCACATTATATAATCAGAGAAGCATGATCATCACACTGCAAACCTGGAGAATCTGTATCTGTTTGTAATTGGAATGCATACTTTTGAAAAAACATTTCTGATGTAAATGTGCTGGGCAATGTAAAAACACACTCTTTGCTATTTTTGCATATCTGTACCCATTAAACCCATGCCAACACCTATAGCCATTTATAATTACCCTTTCTTATAACTGGGGATATTTGAGATGTCTTATTTCAGTATAAAAGAGATGTGCAATCACCATGCAGTGAAAAATACAGTAATACACTCTTCTCAGACTTACCTAAAAAGAAATATGATTTAAAAAAAGTGATTGAGGTTTGTGCTAACCAATGTCTGGTTTCTTACAGTGATTTATTGGGATTGGTGACTTACCTTGACTGGGTCATGATTGTTGTCACAATATGTTCCTGTATATCCATGATGTTTGAATCCCCCTTTAGGAGAGTAATGCACACACCAACTTTGCAGGTAAAACTTTTCAATAATTTGTTTTATCTCAATTCCTTTGCTTAACATTCCCTTTGCTAATCCTATCTGTTTTCTGTGTCAGATTGCAGAGTATGTTTTTGTCATATTCATGAGCATTGAACTGAACCTGAAGATTATGGCAGATGGCTTATTTTTTACTCCCACAGCTGTTATACGGGATTTTGGAGGAGTGATGGACATATTCATATATCTTGTAAGTTAATATGTTTCTGTTCTAGATTAATGTCTATAATACTGTTACAAATATACATTTCCTATATGTTTAATATGTTAAGTGAGGAATTCTTTTCTTTCGGAATCAATTCGTTAAACATAAATATTAATAAAATGTAATAGCTGGCCTGTGGAAACTCTTTCATAAGTGATTAAAGTCAAACAACAACAGAAGAGCTAAATAAATAGTTTATCCTGAAATAATTGCTGCTTCATGCTGCTCCCATGACAAAAAGCATTGATAATGTGATTTCTGCTGTAAGGATGATCAGCATTCAGACTGGTTGACCTTCCTTTTTTTAGGAGAGATCAAGTGGCCAAGCACTAAAGAATCTGACAATAAATAAATTAAATGTTAGTCAACATGCTTGGATATCCGTGTCATAATTATTGGCAGTTGTACATAAAGGTGTAATTCAAGTGTTGTCACACTAAAGTGCATTGCTCCAATATAGTATATATATGTTTAGTTCTTACTACACTCTGAGTTATCAGAAGCTCCAATATGTATGATTTAATCACAAAGCAAAATGTGGGCAGATAAAAAACAATCCTGTTTAACCCATGAGTTATATCTTATCCGTCCATAAAATGTGTTTTACATAGCACCTCAGTGTGTTTTTATAGCAACTTCTTGTAATACCCCGTAGAGTTGGATTTAGAGTGATAGAGGAAGAGGTAACACTGCAAGCCAGACAGGCCTAGTACATTGCACAGTGCAATTCGTAGGGAGAACACAGGGCTGACCTCATGAGTGTGTTTCTACTCCTTCAGTATCTGATCACAAACTGGGGTAGTCCTTGGCCAAGATGACAAAAACAAATTAAAGAAACTCTATTATAAGATAAGTAAATCCTTCTGAAAATGCGAATTACTGTGCTGAAATGTTGATACTCAGGCTTCAGTACTTTGAGTCACTGACCTGGAAATATGAAGATCAGATATGATTTCACTTGATGCATATGTATTTCATGTATGTCGCTCAGAAAGTATTGTAGCTAGAGACATCCAGGCAACTTACACATTTAGGAGGACATGGATGGAAGACCCAGTATTTCTCTCCTGCAGAGTGTTCTTTAACAACATAAAACTGAGTGTTCAAATTGTAACTTACTAAATTTAAACATGGCTTTAAAATGTTTTCACCATTTAATGTTTCCATAAATATATAATAACCAAGTAAAAGGTTCTACACTGTGTGATTAGGGCATTTAATCTAAAGTATGTGCGCTGTTATTAGTAATGCATCAGACTTTAACAGGTAGAGAATCCCTGAACATCATGCATTTAGCAAGTTCATTGATACTGAGCTTTACACCGTGAAAAGCATGTGTAAATGGAACATTGCTCTTAAGTGGCTATGTTACTTGGTTAAAAACATTTTAAAACCCAAGACATTCGACGGAAGTGGCTTTATACCACCTGTCTTTCTGTTTGTTGCTCTATTGCTCACTCTCTTACAAAGCATTGGGCTATTCACGCATGACACACTTCGGGGTGTTTTGAAAGCCTGGTCCCGTGCTGCAGCTCTTCCAGCCGGCCCCTACTTTACTACAGAACTATATGTAACATTTCCAATTCTGAGTATAAAATATTTGACATTGTATCAAAACTTGTTATGCTCTGCATTTCCTGTTGTTCTATATTATCAGTTATCTAAGCCTTGGAGTAACACTTAGGAGTTGATTTATAAACAATTTACAGGACCATTCACCCAGCAATTATCTGTAAATGTTTGTCCTGTGTGAATATATGCACAAATTAATGTTCTTTTCTGCACACGTTGAATTAATTGCACAAGGGCCTCTTCCCCACAAGCCCTAGGACGTTGGCTGTGGGGGTTTGGGCAGGGGGCTTGTTCACATCAGTGTACCTCTTTAATAAAGGGGTACCCAAAAGCTCCCCCCTTGTGAATGAGTAAGGGGTACTTGTACCCCTACGCATTCACGAAAGGGTCAAATAAAAGTTTTTAAAAAGAGGCCAGATTTATGTAAAAATCCTTTAACCCCTTCGTGACTGATGACGTACAGTGTACGTCGCCAGCATCGGGGCTGTTTAAACAGACCTCCGGCGGCTATGACCGCCGGGACTCTGTTTAAACTTGTAGAGCCGACTGTCGGCTTTAAAACAGAAGCGATTCTGGTGACTTACCTGTCGCCAGATCGCTTCTGTGTCCCGTAGAAGGGGCCACCCCCCCGCCGGACACCGCCGCCGTGCTTCCCGGGCTCCGTTGACCCTCCTACGGGACCGGCGTCCTTGGTGTCCGCGGGGAGCTGGGGAGGAGGTCGACGAACTTCCGTTCATCAATCCCCTCCCCGTTCTATGGGACCGGGAGCGATGCAGATTGCATCACTTCCGGTCCCTGGGCTGTCAGTTCTGGCCTCCTGCAGCCCAGCTATAAGCTATTGAAGTGCGATCTGCACT